GGTTGAAGATAGCATAGAGAGGCAATGTAGGAAGTGTAAGAAGGATGTATCTAAGTAATGTGGTCATTATAGTTCAAGCTATGATGGCTTGGCATACATCCCAAGGGCTAGCCGAGAAAAATAAAATAAAAGGCTATGACCCTTTCAGACTTTAGTCTAATCTGGTACAAAGGGTAAAAAGGCAGTGATACACAGTAATTTATTAGAATTTTTCATCCTACACAGAAGTTCCTTTAGTACCTTTAGTCTAATCTGGTACAAAGGGTAAAAAGTCTGTGATACACAGTAATTTATTAGATTTTTCCTCCTACACAGAAGCTAATTGACAAAAGGTAGGCTCCACCTGAATAAAAAATTGTCAAAAATTAACTGACTCACCCCAGCCCTGTAAAGCCCCTGTGAAGACACCCCTGTATACTAAGTGGGGTTCGATTTATTACTTTTAAATGCCAGTGACTAACATTTTGCTATAAGTTAGGTAACTCAGATTACATTTAGCTATAAGTTTTGTGACTAAAAATGAAATTATCCCATTTCTTCTTCCGTGTATTTATAAATAGAAGCAACATATTCATAACGCATTCATATCAAATCTAGATAGCGGTGGAAGTTCTGGAGAAGAAAGAACGAGAGAGAAAGATGGAAGTGATGCAAGTTCTTCATATGAACAAAGGAGAAGGGGAAACCAGCTATGCCAAGAATTCAATTGTGCAGGTTCCGTTTCTTGCTAACATTCGATTTATCTTCACTACATTTCTAGTGAGGCTGCACGCACAACATGCTTTTCAACATAGATGTCTGTGAATTTTTCTATTGCAGGCTATGGGATTCAGGACTCGCAATGTTATAGAATTTGTAAAATAGATTTTTTTTATCATGAAGAGATTTAAGTAATAACGAATTGTACCTTAATATATATTTTGAATAAGTAAAAGTTATTGAAGTAACAATATCATTTTTGTTCTTCACGCCCATGGAGTTGAAAGTCCAAATATCTCCTACTTTGCAGGATGAAAAATTCTAAATAACGTCTTCAATAAAATTCAAAATCTTGAGAAACTCCATGGAAACTTGGTTTATTAGTTTTTAATCTCGTGCAATTTAGTCATACAAATGAAAAAGAACCTTTGAAGACATATTTTAGGTTTGTTCCCTCACTCAAAAATTTTTAATCTTTTAGATAAGCTAATTCAACATAATTTAGTGATACGATCAATAAATCATTAAATGAAATATCATTCTTGGTGCCACCCATATACAAAAAAATGTGTATAAAGTTAAAATTAATATCCACCCATTTAAATCAAAAGGCTACAACACTTCTAGATTAAGTATAACGATATCTAGGGTTGAGCTTTGGGATTAGAGGATGAACTTGAAAGTTCTTCTTCTTCTTCTTCTCTGTTGTTTGGCTTTCTGATACAGTGTTTAGAAATGTTTCCATGCATTTGCAGAGGAAGATAATATCAGTTGCAACTTCAATAATCGAGAAAGCAGTGGAAGAGTGTCTGGAAAAGAATTTCCTAGACAGTATGGGAATTGCTGATTTGGGATGTTCATCTGGACCTAACAGTCTAATGGTAATTTCTGATATAATAGATACAGTATACGCCACAAGTAACCGAAAGGGTATTCCATTGCCCGAGTTAAGGGTTTCATTGAACGATCTTCCGGGCAATGATTTCAATAACATATTCATCTCTTTGCCGGAATTCTACAGTCAACTCAAAATGGAGAAGAACATTGGGCCAGAAGGGTGCTTTATTTCAGGTGTGCCTGGCTCTTTTTATGGAAGGTTGTTTCCTAAAAAGAGTCTACATTTCATTCACTCTTCTTCGAGTCTCCATTGGCTTTCTCAGGTAACTCTGCTATCATTACCTTGAAATATTGTTTATATTATCCCTAATGAGACCATCTCATTTATTTTTCACAGTAAGAAAAATATGTACAAAATGTGATATTAATTATCTTAATTCTATTGAATAATGTTCAAACATATACCAATTTCATGGTAAGAATTGTATGTCGATATATCATATATACGTATAGATATGCACATACATGCATACACGAACAGAATAAAACCTTGTAAAAATGAAACATAGTAATAAGAATTATTGAGATTTTAACGTTTGAAGATTATTTCCCCATGTTCTGTTTTGTACGAAAACCTACAGTCCCTCTTCATCTTTAATTGGTAGACCAGAATAAAAATACATAAGTGGTCCACGTGCATCACTGCAAATCTCTTGTACCTTTTGGGACTCTGCTATAATGACAAGGCCAAATGATAAGGTGGCAACAAAACGGTACTGGATTTGAATCACATTTTAAAAAATGAGATTCAGATCCCATCTCGGCCTTGTCAACAAGGTCTGTCATTTGGCTCTGTTTGAATGGTCAAACCCTTGTGTAAATGAACAGTGCTTGATTTGAATTTTAAAGCCTAATCCTTGGTTTAAAAAAAATAAAAAGAAATAATAGACAAACTATAGCAACGAAAGTTCTTGTTTCGACTTACGTATGTATTTAGTTTAGTTACATTTAATCTTTTATTTGTTTTTCATCAAGGCTAGCACATACACAATTTCTCATAGACAAGTGACAGAGAGACTTAAAACTCATAATTTTACTGACTCGGCTACCATGCTGAAGTAATCATATGAATTACACTTCTATAAGCAAACACCCATGACCCAACAATGCCATTTTTCATTTTTTTTTTAATTTTCAACTTGACAAGGCAGGTTCCACGACTTTTGGATTCAAATATCCTCAAGCCTTTGAACAAAGGAAATATCTATATATCAAAAACAAGTCCAGGAAGCGTAATCGATGCATATTTATCACAGTTTAAAAGAGATTTCTCAGTATTTCTGAAATCACGATCAGAAGAAATGGTTGTTGATGGACACATGGTGTTGTCATTCATGGGCAGAGTCTCTGCCGATCCATCATCAGAAGAGAGTTGCATGCAGTGGGAACTCCTAGCACAAGCTCTCATGAGTATGGCCTTAGAGGTAAATTATTCTTTGCTAAGTTATTGGTGCATGTTTTGTAGTGACCCAAAAATTTAAGATTTGAATCGCTACCCAAAAATTTATTTATAAAAATGTCAAATTATATTTTAAACCACATACGATTTATAAATTTAAATTTCTAACAAATACAATCTTAGGAAGTCAAATAGAGTTGGATTGTTGTAAATTTGTAAATTTTATACCATTAGAATATTTTCCCTTAAAATAATCAATTACTCAATTATTAGAAAAGCTCTACAGATAGGATAAAAATAGTATGCACAAAATGTTAACTCTCTCTCTATATATATATATATATATTAATCTCTTACGCTTATTAAAATAACGATAGTAAATTACATTTTATTTATTCTTATGCAGTGAGTAGAAATGTGACATCAACTTCACCAATTTAATATCATTATTGTGGGTTTCATTAATTACACATGCATGGAAATGCTATTCAACCACCAATGTTTAAATCTCCAATTTAACATGTTGGGTATCCAAGACAAACAAATGGAAAGTGATATGATAATTGTGTTGACCATGTGTCATAAATTCTGGGAAAATCGCCTGTACTGTTGGCTAATGATACCACAAAAAGGTACAAAAATCTTTGACAATTATATGACAGTAAAATCATAATCAACTGCTTTTAAGCAGGAAAATCGATAAAAGGAATAACATTTAATTTAAATTTTATTTAAAGTGCAACCCGCATATATTCCTATGCAAATAAACACGCACGAGAATTTAATAATAAATAAATGTCTATTGCAATAAACTTAAATGAAATAAAATTATGTGCTAAAATTTTAGATTTTTGTCCAGTGAAACAAGGCACAACCACTCAATTGAACCATCACGCTTTGACACTACCTGATTTAACCTGTGAGGAGTAGGGGAAAATGTGAGTACATAGAAATACTCAGTAGGATATAAAAATTAATTGTACAACCTGTATAAAAATTTTAAAATATGTATCAGAAAATCATACCATCTCGTATCTTTAAATCCAATAAGAGCTCATAATATATCATATCGTTGTACCGAAATGACCATATCATTCATATCATAGCATATCATATCATAACTTTAACTTTCATGTATATAAAATTCATCAACATGAAAAAAAAATTAAACGGGGTAGAAAAACACTACACCTCAATATCCTACCTTGTTAACTTGCTTTAATTTTGAAAGACAAAACAAAAGAATTCACGTTCCAACAATCCCTTTCTTTGCCCCTACTTACGTGTTGTGCATGTATATGTATATATTTTATTTTTTGTGTCCTTTCTGTTATGTGAAAAAGATCTTATATACATAGGCAATTGGTGTATCGTGAGGAAACGTGTGAAAGTGAAATGAGGTTATGGATGAGTATTGGGAACTGAAAATTTTGATTAAGTCTTGTCATTCAAAAATCAAAATCAGCACATTTCCCTACACGTGGGTCATTCCAATTTAATTCAAAGTTCCAGTTAAGAAAAAAAATGGATAAAGATAAAAACAAAGTTGGTTTTTAACCACTAGTGGTTAAAAACCATATACTTATTATCGCTCCGTCAATATCTACATTTTAAGCGAAATAAAGTTGAAATTTACTTTATATTTACTTTAGTCCCTAAACTTTTAAAACAATAAAATATAGTATACAAAAAATTAAATTCTATTCTATGAAATTTCGAGACATTACATGTTTTATCCTATTGATAAGTGAATTCCCCTGTTGAAATTGTGCAACTTGGTTCGCAATCTTCGATTTTTGGCATCTAGATCCCAACTTTAAAAGTTTGGGATTCATTGATTCCACATGAACCATTTTCATTCAATTGGCCTTAAAAACTTTGATTTTCGTTAAAATAATAATGTATCTCTATCTTTACTTTAAAAATAAAAGTCAAATAAAATTAAATAAATAAATGAAGAGAAAAAAATTCTGAATACACTTTCTTCCCCCACTTAACCATCACGCTTTCTCCACAACCCCTAAACAAATTTTCTAGCCCCTTCTATGTTTCCTTCTTTTTCATTAACTATTTAATTGGAAAATATTAAAAAACTATCACAAGTTTGAGATCATATTCAACAATTAATTCTAATCATACATTTTATAAATTTACCACTTTTCAATTACACATTTCATCATTTTTTTTTTTATCAAAAAATGTGAAGCAACTCTAAAATTATGTGGATATATATCACTTACCACGGATTGTATAACAAAATCAAATTCTCTCAATACGTTTCTCAAAGCATCCAATTCATGAAGATTCTTTCCCAACTAATGAAGATATCTTAGTGGAATTGCTACATATGAAATTGGTCAATTTTGCAAAGAAATAGCCCACTTGTTTTTCCAGACAAAAGAGGAAAATAAGATGATCAATATCAGTTATTAAATTGTTGATCATGTCCTTTGTTGTTTGAGAAATCCCTTAACATAATTTTTTTTTTTTTTCACGTAAAGATTATATGAGATACGAAATGCAGTGCTTTTACTAAAATTTCAAACAGTGATCCCAAATTAAAGTTGATTCTATTTCACCTATTCCTCATAGAAAAAGTTGATCAAATGAATGGTCCATTTTGTATGTGTGTTTGGATGCATGCATGCAAGTCCTTATGCTTGCGCAACATTGGTTATTTCAGGGTCTCATTGAAGAAGAGAAGATTGATTCTTTCAATGCACCCTATTATGCTCCATCTGCTCAGGAAGTGAGATCTGTAGTAGAAGAAGAAGGTTCGTTCACAATTAATTGTCTTGAGGCCTTCGAGATTGAATGGGATGGGGGTGCTCCAAGCAATAATAATTTCCAAAAACACATTGATAAAATCGAAAAAGATAATTTTTCAAGGGGACAGCAAGTGGCTAAAACAATTAGGGCTGTGGTTGAATCAATGCTGGAAGTCCATTTTGGAAGAAAAATCATAGATGAATTGTTTAAAAGATATGCTCAGGTGGTTGGTGATTACTTTTCCAGAACTAGTGCAAAAAACATTGACTTGGTAATTTCTTTGACCAAAAAGGGTTAATTGAAGTAATCACTGAGGAAATTATGCATAATGTTTACTTGTTTTACTGAATAATGTTTTTTATTTATCCGTTATGAGTGACATGAACATGTTCTTCGGTATCCTCATGGATACTCGTATGATTCGAAAAGTTCCTATTTTTAATTGAATACTTTCTCTAATCTAGAATGTTGATGTAATATTTATGACAATAATTAGTTTGCAACTTTCCCCAAAGAATGATAATCTTGATTTTCTAATTTTTATGACGCATGTTATAATTTGTTTTTCCTTTTACAAATTTAGCTCTCTTTTCAGGGGCTATATGCATGGAAAGTTTTTTGCTATATTTTGTTGAAGTGGCAACTTATTTATTTTTTAGCATTAGTGATCACACATCATTAACAAAGCCCGCAAAGAACCGCCTACAAAGCAAGAGCTCCTAAGAGTTAATTTATTTATTTTTTCAAAAGAATAGAAATTTTGAAAGAAAATATGATACGTAGTCAAGTTGTTTCGACTTGGTTGCTTGCTAATAAATTTTTAAATAAAATGAAAATTTCATTTTTCAACAAGATTTGGTGTTAGATGTTAGTAAAACCATCCTAAACTTTGAGGTTAATAACAATCTTGTTGTTTTAATACAATATTAGATATCAGGATGTCTAATGGAATGTATAATGAGGCCTAGGATCGGTACGAATGTGGTTTGTAATAAGGTTGATGATTATCAGTTTCGAAGATGATGTTGACAAAATAAAAAAAAATTGAGTACTTTAATTGCTATGAATATTAGTCCATGCAATGGATTCTGAACGCAATAATATGTGGCTATATATTTTTCTCCATTCCAAGCTAAGTTCGACTTCTTGCAATGTGACGATACAAATTTTGAATTATTTTCCTTCAAATTGATTAATTTTCTCTTTCTTAACCAAAGATACGACAATCCTATCCAAGAGGATATAGGTGAATTATTTATTGTCGTAAGATTTTCTTTCTTGATTAATTAGTAATTTTTCTTTCTGTTTATTTATTTTTGGTTTATTAATTCTACTTCTCTTTGAAGTTTAGTTTTCTTTTGTTTTATGATATTGTTTCCTTAGACCATTAGGATTAGGACTTTAGTTATTTCTTTGCCTATATAAGAAGGGGTTTAGCACTCTTTGTACTAACCAATTCATTATAATTAGATTCTCTATAAAATTTTGAGCTTTTTCAACAGTCTTCTTCTTCCAAGATTTTTAATTTCACTTCTGCACCAACGTCAAAACAACTTTTGCATATTCACTAGGTAGGCTTCATGACGCGTCAACTTTGATAAGTTCCTTATTTTCTTGAAGTCTAAATGGCCCAAACTAGTATACTTTCATTAAAAGGGTTGCGTAATTCGATGAACATGACAAATATCTTGGTTTACTTTTGGTAAATAGTTGAAACCCAAAAAATGAAAAAAAAAAAAAAAAAAAAAAGAAACATTTTCAAGAAAAAAAGAAAAACCCAAAAGAA